CTGGTCTACACAGAAGAAAGAACTGTCTAGACTCTGCCCCGGTACGAGTTGTGTCGAGCTATTCATTAGTCTGTTTAATGAGAAAAAAATGAAATGTAGCTGCAATAAAATGGGTTATTAATCCATACAACTGCAGCAGTGGAGGACTATTATTCTGCTGCGTGATACTGCAGAAGAACTGATGATGGCACGGTTTGATCTTCAGCTGACCAATCAGCAGAAAGGGCCGTTTAATTCCCACCCACGTGTAGAAATCGAATATTCAAGCTGTTTATTCATTTTTCTACCCCTGAACGAAAAACGAAAATTTAAGCTGAATTCTCGTTTTTCGTTTTTTGGAAAAAAACGAAAAAACGAAAAAGGAGCCGTTTTCTCATTTTTCTACTGTCAATGTTAAATCAAAAAACGAATGATCGAATGATACACGGATTAATCGTTCAGCAAAGAATTGAAATTCTGTTTTCGTTTTTCTCCTTCATATTTGAACTTGGATGACTTATTTCTTCAAAAATGAAATGCACACGAAGCAAAAAAACAGCTTACTTTCTGAAGGACTTTGCTGATCTGTGGCTTTGTGGTTTGTGGTCCATCATCAGTAAAGAAGATGTGCTTGTTGATTTTGCAGGCTGCTTTTTTTCTTTCCTTGGGAGGCTTTCTGTTCTCCTCACTCCTTCTGCCAGCATATGGAGCTTGGCCTTGTTTCAGCTTCACAACGCTGTCAAACCTGCCAAGAGAAAAAGCATTTGGATGTTAATAAAGGCCCTGCTTGTTTTCAATGCACTAAAGGGGTGTCTAGCCTCTGTCTGGGGTCTTACTTGGGCTGTGGACCACATCTCAGACCGAGAGCATCCCACGCCTCCTCAACCGGCACCTCCGCAAGCTCCTCAACATCCAGCTCATGACTGTGGGCACAGCAGCCATTTAAACTGCACTGTATTATATAATCTTATATAGTCTTTCACCCAAAAATTATAATTTTGTCATTATTTACTCGGCTCAAGATGTTCCAAACCCATATGCTATGAATGTATTAATATATAAAAATAAACACTTTGAATAAATATAATAATACAAATCTAAATGTAAATGTACAGTGTATATATATATACACACACACACATATATTTTTGTAGAAAGTGTTCAGGATTCCTTGATGAAGAGAAAGTAACAAAATAAAATAACATCAAAATAACAGCATTTATTTGAAACCGAAATCTTTACAGAATCATTAATTATGTAATCTGATATAATGCAGTAGACTTAATAACAGGACGGCAGCTTACGCTCCCTTCACTTTAGCTCGTCTGTTCCCTGGAGGTTCATCATCATCACTCTGATCCTCATCGTTAGATCTGCTTTTTATGGGCTGTCCACACCAATTACTCAATGGCGCAGAGGTCTGTTTCATGCTGCCATCTGAAATCACAAACTTTCAGTTTACTTTTAATAATAGCTATGTTAACATCATAAAATAATGTGTCTTATACTGCCTGATGTATACAGCAAAAAAAAAAAAGCCGTTCCAGTGGTGCTGTTCAGATGGGGTCAGTCTTGGCCTGACAATCAGGATGACAAGAGCCATTTTTAGAGCGACTGCGAGTGGATTGTGATCAGTTCGAGCACCCAGGAGCCTGTGCTCTCTTTCACATTTACCAGCATTAAAAATGCATAGGCCAAAGTCACATGCTCCTTTCATTCAACAGCTGACTTTTTTGATATGATGCATTAAACATTCAGGCAGAGCCAAACTTAGGCTGCAAAAAAAAGACCTCTGGGAAAAATGATCTGCTTTTATACAGGGGGCGTTGTGATACAGCAAACTGAATTCTGGCTTTATGATGTTGTGATGCCGACAGTGTGATGATGACATCATGATCACAGGTGGCTCTGTCGGAGCATATCGAGCAGGCCAACTCCCAAAAATATAAGTTGAAGGTTAAAAAGTCACCAAAAAAAAAAAAAAAGAAAAAACAAGCTTTGTGTAATTTTTTGGTTATTTCACTTTGCATGATTCGTGAACATGTAATTTTTTTTTCAACTAAGATCACAAATACCTCTTACTTTTGCAACCCTTTTGTCCAAATTGGATTTATATATTTGTTACAGCAAAAAAAAAAAGCAGTTTTGCCATTTCTTCCTGTCATAAACACAATCAATACTCTAAAAATGCTCTTTAAAATATGCACAAATGCATATAAGAATAAGCATTTTCCCCACACAGACTTAATTGGAATTACATGACAAACTCCAAAATTTAAATTCTGTTATCATTTATTCATCCTCATGTCATTCCAAACTTGTATGATTTTCTTTCTTCTGTGGAAAATAAAATAAGATATTTTGATAAATGTCTCAGTGTTTATTTTTTGTCCATTAAATAAAAAACAAACAAACAATGGTAACCACAACTGTTTGGTTACCAAAACAGTGTTCAAAATATTTTCTGTGTTCCCAGAAGAAATAAAATCCCACAGGTTTGGAACGACATGAGGGAAAGTAAAGGTTAACATCATTTTTTTGTTGTTGTTGTATTTTATAAGTTGAAGGTTAAAAAGTCACCAAAAAAAAAAAAAAAGTCAATACAAGCTTTGTGTAATTTTTTGGTTATTTCACTTTGCATGATTCGTGAACATGTAATTTTTTTTTCAACTAAGATCACAAATACCTCTTACTTTTGCAACCCTTTTGTCCAAATTGGATTTATATATTTGTTACAGCAAAAAAAAAAAGCAGTTTTGCCATTTCTTCCTGTCATAAACACAATCAATACTCTAAAAATGCTCTTTAAAATATGCACAAATGCATATAAGAATAAGCATTTTCCCCACACAGACTTAATTGGAATTACATGACAAACTCCAAAATTTAAATTCTGTTATCATTTATTCATCCTCATGTCATTCCAAACTTGTATGATTTTCTTTCTTCTGTGGAAAATAAAATAAGATATTTTGATAAATGTCTCAGTGTTTATTTTTTGTCCATTAAATAAAAAACAAACAAACAATGGTAACCACAACTGTTTGGTTACCAAAACAGTGTTCAAAATATTTTCTGTGTTCCCAGAAGAAATAAAATCCCACAGGTTTGGAACGACATGAGGGAAAGTAAAGGTTAACATCATTTTTTTGTTGTTGTTGTATTTTAAGCATGTTAAAGCTAGGAGGGGGTTAATAATCATTGGATTTTTCTACGCGTGTTTTTTAAAAATTAATTTAGAAAGATGTCTGAACATCGTTTACGTTCTGAATGGCAGAAAATTGAGCACACACACACTGCTGTGACTGACAAAATAAATTTGAACATATCACAACTGCACTAGATTCAATACGCTGAAAGTAAAAAATTAATTTAGAAAAATGTCTGAACATCGTTTACGTTCTGAATGGCAGAAAATTGAGCACACACTGCTGTGACTGACAAAATAAATTTGAACATATCACAACTGCACTAGATTCAATACGCTGAAAGTAGGTCATGGAGCAGGAAGGTGTTGACATATTTGGGTTCAGCATCACTGCAGGAACACCACAGTCCCCATAGCTAATACACAGAGACCTTGATTATCAAAATACATGCACTAACCAGAACTGTCAGTGCACGCTGTACGTGACGATGGCCTTTTGCGGTTTCCACCATCACAGGGCTCATCAGCACAGTTACAGACCAAAAACTGCTGGTCGCCAACCTCGCTGTCAACTTCCTCATTCAGTAAGCTCAGGCTGTTTATGAGATGAGTAACACTCGATCTTTCTTCTATCCGATTCGACTTGAGTGCCTCTGTTTCTCCTCGGATGCCCTGATATTCCTCAGAAGCAGCGGTGGGGCTGTAGGTCTCATCCACTATCCAACCCTGGGCGGCCCAGTAGTGAAACTGTTCCCAGTAGTACTGGTATGTTTGTTGGTAGTGCTCGTCCCAGTCTGCCTCTGAGCGGGAACATTCCTGTGCTGTACTGCTGGAGATTTCAGGTTGTTTCTCCAGCCAGCTCTGCCACAGCAGACCCTCCCCATGCTGCTGCCAGTAGCTCAGCCAGGCCTCCTCTGATGTGGGACACGTCTGTTCAGCGGGGGTCTCAGCGATGTCACTCACAGCACACTGCTGTTTCTGTTCAGAGTCATTGTGTGTATCGGCATAATCTATGGGGGCTTCCAAATGATTGATGGTTCTTTTGTTCTTCGGTCTCACTAAAACTTGGCCCTTAAAGATGAGAAACAATCATTAGTTTGGGCTACAGCCAAGCAATTTCCTAAAGTAAATGGGGTAAAGCTTCACAGTAACAGTCTTCAATGAAAATTTACAAAAACAGATTGCAAGTGAGCGGCTTCACTGCACAGGATAATCCATACTCACAAGGCCCTTTCCCATCTGGGTATTAACATGCCATTTACATGCATATATTAAAAGCCAAGTGTAAATGTACCTGAGACACATTGTGATAAGATCACTGAACCACATTTGACAAAGGTGTAAATGCTAATGCACTTTTTCATTATTTGCAAACACAGCCCAGTTAAAGAATATGCAGACACTATTTGAATACAAAATGTATGTTAATGCCAGGTGTAAAGGGGCCCATGCAAAAGGAAAAGGCAACAAACATTAACGAATCAAGAATCAAGGACATTAAAACTTTAAAATAATATAATTTATGTTATTACAATTATTATTTTGTATTGTTGAATAATAATATATATATATATCAAATGGATGGATCTAAAATTTTAATTACTTAATTTAATAACTATTTTAATTTATTTTAAAATATAATGCATTCCTGTGATGCAAAGCTAGCCAAACATTCATTGATTTCTGATTTGGTGCTCAATAAACATTTATTTTTATTATCAATGTTAAAAACCGTTTTTGCTGCATAATATTTATGTGGAAACTGTAGTATATATTACCATTCAAAAGTATGGGATAAGAAATTAATACTTTCATTCAACAAGGACACATTAAACTGATCGAAACGAAAGTAAAGACAATTTTAATGTTACAAAAAAAGCATTTATAAATGTTTATATTTCAAATAAATGCTGTTCTTTTGAACCTTCTATTTTACAAAGAACAGAAAAACAGATGTCTCAGTTGTACTTTTATGGTTTAGATGTGTGCTCAAGAGCACACCCTATAAAGCTGACATGCACACTCAAAGTAGACACTAGTCACGTCACAACAGTCTACTACCCAGTAGTCCATGCACCATTACGACTCCAAAGTGTGGAGGACTCAAAGGACTAGGGACAAGGGCCTAAGACTTTTTGCATGAGCATTAATATTAGCAATGTTGACATAAATGGACAGAAGTGGTTTTCCAATATAACATCAAGATCATAATGCATCTAACAGACATACAGCTTTCCTCTGTTTTGATGAACTGGCAAACTCCACAGGAAGCCCCAAACTGGCCATAAGCATGGTCTCTTCATCATCAACAGCCTCTTCTTCCTCCTCCTCCTCCTCCTCCTCCTCCTCCTCATCATCCACAGAACAGCTAAGGTCCTCCAAAAGCTCTTCCCCATCATTAGCTTCAAAATCTACTGAAAAAAAAAAATCTAAGTGTAATGTGTAGCTATTTGAGCATTATAAGCTATATCCTGACCATAACCCGTTGAAGGTATTTTCAAGTGAAAATTTCAAGTGAAAATCAAGAAAAAACATCAAGGCTAAATGAGGTTCTCAACCTTTTTGACTCCAAGTACCCCCATTGTCCACAACAATATTCAAAGGCCTCATGAATTTTCCTGGTGTTTGTGATTTATTGGATAAGGATTAAGGATTTTTTACAAACATAAAAAAAAAAAAAAAATTTCTACCCAATAAAATATTTTAAAACTTGGCAGCTATTAAAATGTAGGTGGGGGCATATGAGGAACGTGTCTTACAGGTTACTGGTCAACATGGATGTTTATAGCAGTAGGTTGGGATTAACATTTATTGAGCATATGAGGTAGCAACCTGGTGGTGAGACACACCATAAGAATAATTCTTATTTTGTGATCCACTTTTTGCTCTTTTTTTGTCTTTTACCTCATTTTAATCTTGATCTGATCTAGCAATCTATGCATACTTGTGTCTGAAGCATATTTTATTGGTGGGTTAGATGAGGTTTGATATACCTACAATCTCTAAAATGGAGTGTATAGTTTTGTCTCTTTAAGGGAAATAAAAAGTATGAATCATAACTAGAAACATGTATATTCATTTTAAAAACCCCCATGGAGTTTTAATAAAAACTTACATAACTTACATAATTTACATGATTTTCCGGGTTACGCTTTTAAAATGACCTTAAATTTACCTTTTCCAGCTGTTGAGGGAGTGAATTATATTGATTATAAAATATCTTGATTTTTAAATAGTTTTAGTTTATGTCAATGCTTGTTTTGTCTTATTTCAAATAATTTAAAGTCCCAATGCCCCCTTGGAAGTTTATTGAGGCCCACTGGGCTAAATACATTGTCAGGAAGTCAGTATGTAAACAGTCATTTTGTTCATATGTAATCAGATGCTAACAAGAAACCGTACCTTGCAATTGACTGTCAGTCTGATTCAGGATGGCTTTAGAATCTGACCGATACAATTCTCGATCACTGCAGATGAAAACAAGAGAAAATGTGTTCACCATTCACAACAGTAAACAGGCAACCTCCCATGTCAACCTAGTAGTCAGTGTTACACAGTGAGGGTTTACAAAGTTTAGCTCACTATCTATATTTACGACTTTAGATCTATGTGATCACAAGTAATATGGAGCAGATCTTTTTTTTTTTTTTTTTTTTTGCTCTTCCAGTCTAATCTGTTCTGTTGGCTCATTTTGGGCACTTCTCTGCTGCTGAGGCCAGTTGAGACATGCAAACCAGTCAGTTCTAGGGCGGTACAAACACCACAGCAACGGTGATTTAAAATGTAACTTTCTGAACGCAGTTAACTTGATAAAATAGCATGCCTATTCTAGCAGTTGATCATATCACACGTAATCTTGAATACATACTTGACGTAAGCTCTGGAGCACAAGCAGTGTATTGTCATCTCTCTCTCTTCGCCCTGATAGAAGATGATATCAGCTAGAGGAACATTTCGCTCGCCGTAATCAATCATGATGACAGACGCATGAATGACACCTGTCAACAGGATCTACCCAAGACCTTTCTACAAACCTGTCTTATCTTTACTCTTTTAACCGGGCATTAGAAATAACAACTACCGCGAAATATATAGCGACATATAAATATACAGATGAATTAAAACGAGGGTTATTAAAAGTACTACTACAACATCTAATTTATACACACACTTAAATCTCGCTATGCGAGTTTCCCCCCTCGTGCTTTGGAAACTGCCCGTCAAGTTAAAAGACAGAAATGTTCAATACAGATATGGCATTTATGAGGGTTTAAGACTTTTATTATGAAATGTTTCGCCCAGTCACGGACATTGACATGCGCTGTTTCCTGTTTGTGTCACATGTAAAGAGAGCCGGTTCAGTCAGGAAGGTAAACACTTATTGAGGGCAGCAGTGTCTATTACATTGAGGTATCATAATGTAAGTAGATTTGAGAAAATCTTATTTTTATACGCTTCTTCTAAAACATCCATCTATATGCTTAGTTTTTCGAGTGATAAGGTGTGTAATTTTGAAGAAGTGTGTGACAGCTCATCAAAATCTGGAGCTGTTGTAAGGTTTGTTTGTCTATGATCGCTATCCACTGTGACAGAACGGTTTAATGCTACTGTACGCCTTTCCATGTCGTCGTTCATGTGTTTAACAGTGTTCATGTAAATGATGCTGTACAGCAGTCTCACCTGTGACTGGGGATGAATTAACAGAATGAGTAGGTACAACTTAACTGTCATCGACGTTGTTTAATTTTAGGGCACCGTTGTGAGGTTGGTATGTTTGGCCTAGCAACACATTTTCGTTGGAGAAGGTTTGTTTTTTTGTTTTGTTTTTCCTTGGTGCTTTTTTTTTTAAAATATATATTTTTTAAACAATTCATCAAATGACTAGAATTAGATTTGCGAGTTAAAGCTGAAGTGTGTCATTTCTAGACGCCACTGGTGTCATTGAATTTCACTGCAAATGTGATGATTGTTGTCAAACAGTCACCCGTCTGCTATTGGTTGGACAAACAGATAACCCCGCCCCAGACTCACGCTATTGGCCGAGTCCTGTGGCTTGTGAAATGAGATACAAATTTAGTATAAATATCATTTTTATAAATATACATTTTTTTTTTTTATAAATACTAATATAAATTTACGCTAGTTTACGTTTAAAAGCTTATAGGTTGAAGGAACAAAGTATCATTTACCTTACATTATCAACAATCAACCATTGCTGTAATATTTATATTGTGATTTTATATCAGAGTAGCTTTATATTTTACAAAGCAGTTACTTTTGCTGGAAATTCAATCCCAAAATGACTTATATAATACATAACCATGTGGTAAAGTCTATTTTTTCTGTAATATTGTAGCTTTAATACTTTAAAATGATTATTATTGATTGATTGAGTTGATTATTTTCCCTTTTTCAAGCTTGATGGCTGGAAACTAAAGCACACGCTTATTCATACGCAATTTTTAAGTCTTGCATATGTATAAAAGTGATTAGTCCGTTCATTTCAATAAGTTTGACCCATTCATGTAGGTCCGTGTTGCTTTAGAACACACAAAAATCATTGTATTTTTTTTTTTCATTCATTCGTTCATTCATTAATTTATTTTAGAAGACAATTCTTTTGAGCCAAAGTTCCTGTGGCTGTTTGGGATGCTAAAACAAGCAGCAATGTTTTGATAGCACCACAGAATCATAGTGTTTTTGTTTTCTTCGATGTTTGACTCGGCATATTAAACCTGGATAGGAAAAGTGTTCTAATTTCATAAAAATGACACACTTCAGCTTTAATGCCATCTTAATGTCTGCGTTTGACAGTTTGTGTCTTTCATACCCAGGTCTCCCCTTTGGCAGATTGTTGCCTTGCTCAGCCCATCTGCCACTGGGAGAGGCTCACAGTGAAGAAGCATGTCCAGTGGGAATGAGTCCTGTCTGTTTGAGAACGGATCCGTCAGCTTCTTCTCCTGCTTAGTTCATGTGTGGGAGGCAGGGCTCGGGCAGCTCGAAGACTACCTCAGTTTCTTGGAGTATCTGCTCTGGGTTTTCACACCTCTAGCCATAGTCTTCATCCTGCCTTTTCTCATAGTCATCCTCCTCTATCTGTCCATACTCTTCCTCCATGTGTACAAACGTAAGAACCAGTTGAGGGAAGCTTATTCCAATAACCTGTGGGATGGTGCAAGAAAAACTCTGGCAACCCTATGGGATGGACATGGAGCTATTTGGCACGGTATGTAATGGATTTGCTTTTTATTTTTATCTGCATTAATTGAGATCTGGATTGTTATCTTATTTAAATTCAACTACTTTGGTCTGGGATTTTTCATGGTGCTCACATACTTGCATCCACTGTGTTGTTAATTAGATTTTTAAGTGATAGACAGGAATAGTCAAATCATAATTAAAAAGTGATGTCACTTTAGACTTGTCTTTAGACTTAATAAAAGTCTAAAGACGTGATGCAAGATTTGACATATTATATACATGCGTATTATCAGGCTATGGATGGTTTTTTTTTTCCTCCGGCCCTAAACCATCTTATCCTTTGACAGAACAATCAATGATGGTTTGATGTTCCTGGCATTAAATTGTGATTTTTAGTAGCGATACACCGATCGATCGTCCAGGGATCGGAATCGTCCGATTTTCCTCATGATCGGCCCGGATCGGTGATCGGTCGGTCAGTCTCACTTCTTTCCGATTTCGAGCCGATCCGTTTTGTTACCAGCAGCACAGGCAATAACATCAGCCGTGCATTCTCACTCTCATCTCTCCGACGACCCCTTCTCTCTCTCACACACGTCTCATTCGCTCCGGTTAAATAGTGCTTGTATTGCGCATTATAGTCATTCCCGCAGGTTTCGGGTTTTTTAGTGGAGCGCACAATCCGCGCTCAGTCTCAAACAGCTTGTGAGCCACAAATACCAAAATGAGTGGCTAACTGCGCTAAAACGTTCAAATACATACAAAATTATGTCAAAATGCCCGTCTTGGTATCCAGTTAAACACAGTCAGTTTTGGAACGTTAAATAGTTGAGAAAGAGAACGCATGTTGTGTAACAGTATATTGGGTCCGTGGATAAACTCTCCTGCTGCTATCTGTCATGTTGATCAAAGAACAAAAGACAAAGAAAATCATTTTCTGCCCTTGACTGAATAAGTTTTATAACTTTAATGGTAAGCATTAATCTGTATTTAATTTTTACAGCATACAAAAACGCCCTCACTCGCCATGATTTAAGACGCCGTGTAAACATACTGTAAATGTTGTCAACTTATTTCGCAAGTATGGAGAACAGCGATAGATGGACGGACGCTGAAGTGCAGGCACTTGTAGC